TGCTACGATCTCCTTGTTAATCTGAGGGCGACTGAGATACATAAGAGCGCCCTTGGGCTCGAATTTCGACAGGAGGATATCCCATGTTCTTTGAAAAGTGAAAATACTTTCGCAGCAGAGGATTACCAGACAGATGAGCAGACGGTTCTCGAGAATCGGGGCAACGAATCAGGTATGTCCTCTCGTTAGGGCAAAGAGAGAACACCGATTGCTTAACTGCGATATATTCTTTTTTTTTAGGGACCCTCGAGGAAATCTTAGAAACAGAGCTGAGAGTCGCTTTCGCAGAGCCTCCTCAGGTAGAGAGGGAGATGGATTCAAAAGAGAGAGAAGACTCCTCCTTGACGAAGGAGTTTTTCAGAGAACTGCATTCTGTGATGACAGACCTTCGCGCGCTCGCGCGATTCCTTCCTATATCTGTCGCTTTCTCAATGATCGGTGACCTAATCGGTGATCTCTATGGCTCCCTTTGGACATTTTCAGCTACAACGCACACTCAAAAGAACTCGTGAATTCTAATATTAGATTAAATTAATAAGGCTCAATCTATGATCACTATTGATGCTATGCGCAACAGAAACACAATGACATTAGCAGCGCGTGGAACGCTCTCGGCGGCCGGGGCCGCATTTCACTTTAACGAAAATTCTAAAGACTGTTCGTGCAATCATGCCTAGAGGCACAACTACTTTATCCACCCGGACGAGACCATTGGGCATAATTTGGAATTTTATGTTTATGCTATGTTATTTTATCTTGATTATATTTTTACATGTCGATCAATATTTTCTTCTTATATGTAATCCTTATAGTCATCAATGTCTAAAAATTCAAGACAAATTATATGAAATACATTGATGATTTAATATTTTTAAAAAGAAAAAAATAAATAATTCTGTCAAATCTATTTGTGGGATGTATCAAAATACTTGACGTCAACGACTTGATATGTCAAAATGTCACGAAGACAATATCTCACGAAGTAAACGCAGTAAGAGAATTAATCATATGTAATTTTATTAAGCTGACATTTAGATTAGCTGCAGAATAAGAAATTTTTAGCAGCTCGAAAATTATATCCTACAATCAATCAACATGCTTGAGAAACAGTCCTTATTTGATTATAACTGGATACTTGTGCTAATATTTTTTTAGTGATTTTGTAACGGAGCGCATCCTTCCGCTCCGTTCCTCCTCCAGATTTTCCCCCGACTGACCATTCGTCGAAGACCATCAGGCGGAACGCAAAAGGCCTATTTTTTAATCTTGTACATAGTTCGCGAACGCTGAAGCTTGGAGAATAGAGCGCGGAATCCACGAATATTTTCGTGGTATTCCCCCCGCGCCGCACCCGCGCCGTACCGACACCGCACCACAAAAAGCAAGCGAACATCCCGCACTGCGCTACGACCGCGTCTAGAAGCGCCGTAACCGCGCCGTTACCTCACCACCGAACTCTTCCCAACTCCTAGACCTTCTCGCTCCGAATTCTTATCTTTCGAAAAAACCAATTAAATTGATCCTTTTTCTCCGCTCCTTGGAGAGGGATGCTAACCCCCGAGATCGACCAATCCGACCGATCCGATCGAAAAATACCGAGGTCGATCTCGGGTATAAAAAGGCATCGCTTTCCATAGAAAATCATCCTGTTCCACGCTCGTCTT